ACACTGTCCCCCAATGGCCACAACTTAGCAAAGTGGCCCTCTCTTCCTCCCCCAGGAGTGCCAGAGGGACATTTGTGGGCTGGCCTGGGCCATGGGGCCTGTGGGGATCCCAAGTGTGAGCAGAGTGAGCCCTGTCTTGTCACATCTCTCCAGGGCCACCTGCCACCACCCCTCTCCATACATTAGAGGGGACAGGACCTGATGGAACAGAGGACCCTTCCCTCCGTGGTGGCCGCAGCTCCAGGAAAGTGGCTTTCTGAGCCCCCTCGACCATGGGAGCAGAGGCATGGTGGGTGATGGTACGTGTCACAGCTGGATGGGGACCCCTCACACGCTCCCTGTGAAATGTCCCTTGAGTCATCAGAAGCAGCAGGCACATTTTCGCGGAAGCACTGACCGCTCGGCCCGGCCCTGACCCACGTGCTGGCATCACTGGAGGCTCGTTCGGTTCCTGCCTTTACATCCAGAGGACAAGCCTGCAAACACGGTTTGCTTCCCACAAGCCGCCACATCTGGACAGCTGCCCCAGCATCTGGCCCTCAGATGGCCACTGGGCCTGGCTCACCTGGGACAGTGTCTGTGTCCTTGGCCAGTGGCCTCGCTCCCTTCCGTTCTCCGCTGGCTTGTGGGCTGCAAGTTCGTGGCCGTGGAGTGCTCAAGGCAAGTGAAGATGTGCCCCACGTGCCAGCCGTGCCTGCCCGTGGTGAGCATCCTATGAAAATAGAAATCTGGCCCCCGGCACCCAGTGAATGAGCCGTGTGCCTGCGACGTGCTCCAAGCTGTCCGAGCTCTGGGCAGGAGAGGTCCCCACCTCCATGGAGCAGGTGACCTCAGGTGTGCAGGGAATAAAACATGGTGAGACAGGCATGGAGCTGCAAGAGGGACAAAAGGGGTCCCGGCAGAGGGACCCCCAGGCAGGACCCAGCACGGGGTCTGGGGACTGGGGCTGGAGAGGCTTCAGGTGGAAAATTGGCATCTGGCCCAAGGAGGTGCTTGGAGGAGCATGGTCATCAGTCACTGTGGTTTTCATTAGGGTCGAGTGTTTCCTGCTTCCCAAAAAGAGCCCTGACACTTTCTGGTCAAGCGAGCAGCCCCCAGCCTCACTCCAGAACGAGCTGGCCCCGTGGAGGGAAGGCGGTGTCCAGGGCCCTCTCCTGGGGACCAAATGCCGGTCTTTCCTCAAGGACAACACTGTCCTGATTACTGTGGTTTCGCACTCAGTCTTGATGTCAAAATTTGTAAACCCTCCATCTCGGGTCTCCTTTTCAAGATGGCTTTAGATAGTCTGGGTCCTTTACATTTCTGTACACGTTTTAGAATGAATTTGTCAGCTTTAAAGATCTGCTGGGATTAGGGTTTCACGTCATTGTAAACTGGCTTTCTGCTTGTGGACAAAGTAACACTGCATTTTGTGCATTAACCTTGCAACCTCCCAACATTGGCTTGCTGGTCCTCCTCGCGGTCTTGTGCCTGCCACCGCCATCCTCAGGCACTCTTGTCACCTGCAGACACTGCCTCGTGGTGCCATTATTCCTTGGCTGCCTTTTTACAGGGCTGGGACCTCCAGGACAGGGACATCCTATCCCTGATCCTAGGGGAACCGTCATCGTCCCCTCCTCAGGCCAGCGGTTTTCACAGAGGCCTCGGAGGTTGAGGAGACCATCTGCCGCTGGTCTGCTGAGGTCTGTTCACGGTCGTGGGCCCAGTTTTGTCAAATGCTGCCACTGCGTCCACTGGACGACCCTGTGGTTTCTCCGCATTGTGCCTCTGTGGAGAAGAACTGCCTGGTATTCATGAAAACACACCGCCTCTCTCTGATCATCTTACCGGGTCTGGATGTTTGATCCTTTTCATGAAGTCCTAGGTTTCATTTGCTGATTTTACTGTCAGCGATGTGGTGTCTGTGTGCATGGGGAAGCTTGTCAAGGAATTTACATTTTTAATGTCTTGTCTGGTTTGGATACCTGTCTCAAACTGCGTCGGTGGGTACACCCTCTTCGTTTTTGGAGGAGCCTAAATAAGACCCAGTGATCAGCTCGTCCGTGAGCTATAGGACCTGGAGTCTCTCTGTTAGATGTCTGTGATATTGAAGCCCATCTTTTTACTAGACACAGGGCATTCAGATTTTCTACTTCATGTTTCAATTTTGATGATTTGTTGGGTTTTCTTTTTTAATGTATCCATTTTATCTAAGTTGCTGAATCATTCACATATACTTGTGTATAATATACAGATGCTCCTCTACTGAGAATAGGTTTTTGTCCTGGTAAACCCATCATAAGTTGAAAATACAGTTAAATTGAAAATGCATTTAACACACCTAGCCTCTGAGCATCAGAGCTTAGCTTAGCCCACCTTACACATGCTCAGAACACAATACCCAAAAGTGAGTGTGGGCTGTGACCCTCGTGATCATGTGGCTAAGGAGCCTCAGCCCACCCCACTGCCCAACCTCACAGGAGAGCATCATACCACGTGCCACCAGCCAGGGAAAGATCAAAAGTCCAAATACAGTTCCTACTGAATGTGCATCGGTTTTGCACCATCGTAAAGTTCAAAAATGTTAAGAACCATCATCAACTTCCGGTCAGGATGGTGGCCTAGAAAAAAAAATTTTTAATGCACACAAAGCATTATTATTTTCTATTGGAGCATAAGTAAATATAGAAAGATAATTTTAAAAAAGAAGAAGGAGCATCGTCAGCCAGGACATCTGCACTCTGATGCCTGTGGGACGGAGCTGGGAAGCCATCTCCTTGATGCTGCAGTCTGTTCTCACTCTTTCCTTGATCAGCCGACTCAGGGTATGTAGTTCTGTTCATGGTTTCAGAAAATCAACTTCTGCCTTGGCAATTTTCACTACTTTTTGTCTTTTTTATTTTTAGTGGCGTTATAACTGACATAAAACTCTATTCGTTTCGAACGTAGAACATAATGATTTCACATTTGTCTATATTGTGAAGTGATCACCACAATAGGTATAATTAACATCCATCACCCACACAGTTACATTTTTTCTTATGATGAGAACTTTTAAGATCTGCTCTCTTAATGACTTTCAGAGATGCAACACAGTATTGCTATTGCTGCCATGCTGTACATTACAACCAGGACTTCTATTTTTCTTTATCTCTGCTCCTATCTTTATGATCTCCTTCTTCCTGCTCCTTTCCATTTACTTTGACCTTTTATGTTTCTGCCTTGCCGAGGTGAACTCTTACGTCACTGAACTTTAGACCTTCCTTTTTTCCTCACAGTAGTCACAGCTATGAATGTCCCTCTGAGCCCTACTTTAGCTGCACCCCAGAAATCTTATGTTGTATTTTCTTCCTCATTCTGTTTAAAATATTTTTTAAATTCCCCTGTGATTTCTTCTCTGGTCCATGAATTATTTAGAAATGTGTCATTTCATTTCCAGGTAGATGTGGTTTTCCTAGTTATCTTATTGTTATTAACTTCTGATTTAATTTCATTGTGGTCAGAGAATATACTCTGTATGATTTCAATCTTTTTAAATTTACTGAGACATGTTTCTTGAAGCACCACATCATCTGTCATGGTGAATGGACTATGTGCACTTAAAAAGAATAAAAATTATGCATTTATTGATTGTGATGTTCTATAAAGAGCCTATAGGGCAAAGTGATTAATAGCGTTGTTCAGCCCTGGCTGGTGTTTCTCAGTGGTTAGAGCATTGGCCCACGCACCAAAGATTCGCTGGGTTCAATTCCTAATCAAGGGCACATACCTGGGTTGCAGGTTCCATCCCCAGCCCCAGTCAGGATGTGTGTGGGAGGCAACCAATCAATGTGTCTCTTTCACATCAATGTCTCTGTCTCTCTCTCTCTCTCTCTCTCTCTCAATCTCCCTCTCCCCTCTCCCCATCCCTCCCTTTCTTCCACTCTCATTTTAAAAAAATCAATGGAAAGAAATATCTTTGGGTGAGGATTAACAAATACACACACACGCGCACACACACACACACACACACACACACACACAGTTGTTGTTCAGATCTTCTGTTTCTTTACTAATTTTATTTTTTTAATTAATTTTTGTTATAGATGCTTCTCCATTTTCCCTCACTGATTCACTGATTCCCCTCCCCCCCTGCCCTGTCCCTAGCTTTGTTGTCCATGTCCATTGTTCATGCATACATGCATATAAATTCTGTGGTTTATCTCTCCCCCACCACCCCTTCTTCTGGGGATTGTCAGTCTGTACCCCACTTCCACGTCTCGGGGACTACCCCATTCCTCAGACTGTTATGTTCATTATATTCCACAAGTAAGTGAGAGCATATGATACTTGTCTTTCTCTGTTTGGCTTGTTTCACTCAGGATAACACTTTCCAGGTCCCTCCATGTCTTCTCAAAGGATAAGAGATCTTTCTTTCTTACAGCTGCGTAGTACTCCATTGTGTATATGTACCATAGCTTCTTTATCCATTCGTCTACTGATGGACACTTGGGCTGTTTCCAGGTCTTAGCTATTGTAAATGGTGCTCCTATGAACATGGGGGTACATATATTCTTTCTGATTGGTGTTTCAGGCTTCTTAGGGTATATTCCTAGAAGTGGGATCCCTGGGTCAAATGGAAGTTCAATTTTTAAGTTTTAATTTTTTTTCATGGTGGCTGCACCAGTCTGCATTCTCACCAGCAGTGCACTAGAGTCCCCTTTTCTCCACACCCTCTCCAACACTTGTTGTTTGATGATTTGTTGATGGCGGCCATTCTGACAGGTGTGAGGTGATACCTTATTGTTGTTTTAATTTGCATCTCTCTGATGATTAGTGATGTTGAGCATTTCTTCATATGTCTCTTGGCCATTTGTATGTCGTGTTTGGAGAGGTGTCTGTTTAGTTCCTCTGCCCATTTTTTAATTGGGTTCTTTGTCTTCCTTTTGTGGAGTTGTATGAGCACTCTATATAGTTTGGAAATTAACCCCTTATCTGATATATCATTGGCAATGATGCTCTCCCATACGGTGGGTAGCCATAAAAATATGGAACGCTTCACGAATGTGCGTGTCATCCTTGCGCAGGGGCCATGCTAATCTTCTCTGTATCGTTCCAATTTTAAGTTTTTTTACTTTTGTTCTGTAACCATTCCAGCTTTCTTGGGTTCACACTTTGTGTGAACTACTTTTTCTATCCATTAACTTGCAACCTCTCTGTGACTTCGTATTTTAAATGTTTCTGTTGTAGACAGTATATAACTTGCTTTTTTGTTGTTGTTAATCAGTTCTGACAATCTCTGCCTTTGGGATCTTTAGTCCATTAAAATTTAATGAAATTTTCATTTGATTGGATTTAGGTCTCCCTTTCATTATTTGTTTTCTGTTTTTACTTTTTTTACTTTCTTCTGTTCTTCCTTTCCTCTTTTCTTTCTTTCTCTTGGATTATTTTAATATTTTTAAATTTTTTTATTTTAATTTACCTCTTAGCATTTTGCCTATTAATTTTTTGTGGTTGCTTCGGGGATTAAAACCCACAGCCTCTTCACAGTCTATTTAGTGTGGAAATTCTGTTTCATGTCAACTATGTCAAAACCCTTGCAAGTGAATGGAACCATCTCCCCTCCCACCATCCCTATGCTGCGGACATTGTGTATAGTACCCCTACATAAGTTCTAAACGCCTCAGGCAGAGGCAACATGTTTTCTTTCAACAGTCATATGTATTTTAAAGAAGTTAAGAGGAAACAAAATATTTTCTATTCACTCGAATATTTAGCATTTTTAGGTTCTTGCTTCCTCCAAGTGTCCGTCTGGCACCAGATCCTTTAGCCTGCAGGATTCCATGTAGCATTTCTTGAAGTGCAAGTCAGCTGGTGGACAGTTCTCTTAGTTTTATTTTTGTTAGAATACGTCTGGGTGTGTTCTCTGGGTATAAAATTCTGGGAGGCAGAGTCCCCAGGGGTCACCAAAAGTGACCAGAGGCCAGGTCATCCTGCTCCCACCCAATGACCTGGGACCTGTGTCATTCTTCTCATTGGGGACGTAGCACTGGAGCCTGGCCAGGGCCATCTCTGCAGGGGGACAGCAGCCAGCAAGCTGGGAGTGCGGGGAGGGGGCAGAGGAGAAGCCGGGCCCTAGTCCGTGGGGCTGGTGCTGCCCCTGACTGACAGCTGTTTGGCCAGGACCCTGGGCCACGCCTCCCTCCTTTGCCCTGAAGGTGGTGCTGTCCTTGGGGGACCCAGTTGGGTTCAAAGGGCAGTGAGTGGCCTCCTGCTCTCCGGCAGGATCTACCTCATCAGTGGAGGGGTTCCTTTCATCATCTGTGGAGTCACAGCTGCCACGAACATCAGAAATTACGGGACAGAGGACGAGGACTCAGCATAGTGAGTACGAGCGCTGAGGGGTGAGGGTGGACGAGGCTCCTCCGGGAGCACCTCCCCGGCCCATCGCCCTGGCTGCAGGGTGTCCAGCAGCTGCACCCCCACTGGTCATGGGCACGCATAGCAGACAGACTGAAACAGCCCGGAAATCAGGTGCAGCCTCACTGAGACCACACAGGGCAGGGGTCGGGGGCTGCCCAGGGACTGCCCCAGGTGCCCATGAGGTGACAGCACAAGGCCTGGTTGCCCAAAGCTGTCTTCCTCCCTGGCGGACTCGGTTTCCCCCAGCCTCTTTCCTGAGTCCCGAGGGCTGGCTTGTGGAGACGGGAGAGGCCTGGAGGACCAATAACCTGGGCAGCACGGCCGAGGCCAGCAGAGCAGACTCAGCTGCACACAGGGGTTGAGTCAGACCCTGCAGGCCGTTCCTGCCCCGTCCAGACCTGGGGACCTCACTGGCCCTCCCCACTCACTCCCCACAGGATGCCCACCCCCAGTTCCATGGGCCCCAGGGCCCCAGGACATTTCCTGAGCACCCTTCTGACCTTGGTTCTCCAAAGCAGCCTGAGTGCATCAGGCTGGTCCTGGTGGGCAGGGCGGGGCCCCTTGCTCATCACCTGACCGTGACGCCACCTGCTGGCCACACTCATTAATGACTTTAACAGGAACCTCTGTGCAGGCAGTTCAGTCTGCCCTGGGCTCTCCCCCCACAGCTGACCCCTCTTGTCCCCGGAGAGGCCAGTCTGAACTCTGCTGAACTCTGGTCCCAGCACAGCCCTCAGCAGAGCCTCGGGGCCCTTGAGCTGTGCCCCCACCCTCCACACCCTCAGCAGCTCCTTCCAGACACACAGCCCTATTCCCTCCACGCTCACGCCTTCTGGGCCCAGCTGGGGAGGGAGGAAGGGAGGGAGGGAAGGAGGGAGGGAGGGACACGAGAAAAGCAGGGCACAGAGAGTGGCGAGCAGAGAACACGGCAGCTCCGCTGTGCTCCTCACACCAAACCGCCTTGGGCCCGTGTTCATGTCCTTATCACCCAACTGCTCTCTCTGACTATAGGACACAGCCTTATCCCAACCAGTTGAGGGGGCAGTGGCCTTACTTCACTGGTGTCCTACGCAGTGTGACTCACACTGACCCACTCTCCTCCCGCAGCTGCTGGATGGCCTGGGAGCCCAGCCTGGGCGCCTTCTATGGTCCAGCAGCCTTCATCGCCCTGGTCACCTGTGTGTACTTCCTGGGCACCTACGTCCAGCTGCGGCGTCACCCAGAGCGCAGGTATGAGCTCAGGGAGCGGAGGGAGGAGCAGCATCGGCTGGCAGGGCCGGAGGCTGGCCACAGCCCCCCGGCCCCCCCGGGTGTGCCCCCCACCTGCACCACCCTGGCCGCCTCGCTGCTGCAGAACGAGCACTCACTGGAGGCCCAGCTGCGGGCCGCCGCCTTCACGCTCTTCCTGTTCACTGCCACGTGGACCTTCGGGGCCCTGGCTGTGTCCCAAGACCACTTCCTGGACATGGTCTTCAGCTGCCTGTACGGCGCCTTCTGCGTGACGCTGGGGCTCTTCGTGCTCATCCACCACTGCGCCAAGCGGGACGACGTGTGGCAGTGCTGGTGGTCCTGCTGCCCTTCCCGCCGGGACACCCAGGCCTCGAAGCTCGGGGCCCACCCCGCACTGGATGCCAATGGGGACGCACTGGGGCATGCCACCTGCCTGCAGGACTCGCCTTGCGTTGGCAAGCTGAGGGGTTTCGGGCACCCGCCAGCTGGCCACTGCAAGATGACCAACCTGCAGGCTTCCCAGAGCCACGTCAGCTGCCTGTCGCCGACCACGCCCTGCTGTGCCAAAATGCACTGTGAGCAGCTGATGGAGGACGCGGCCCATGTCCACCTGCACGAGGAGGAGGCGTTTGGGCACGACCCGCACCTGCACAGGTGCCTCCAGGGCAGAACTAAGCCTCACTACTTCAGCCGGCACCGGGCAGCCGCGGCCGAGCAGGAGTACGCCTATCACATCCCCTCCAGCCTGGACGGCAGCCCCCGCAGCTCCCGCACAGACAGCCCCCCCAGCTCACTCGAGGGCCCGGCGGGGATGCACACGCTGGCCTGCTGCGCCCAGGGTGACCCCTTCCCCTTGGTCAGCCAGCCCGAGAGCGGCAACATCAGCCCCACACTCTACGGCTGCCCCGCACGGCCCAGCAGGGAGGTGGGCCGCGGCCCAGCCCACTTCGAGATGCTCCGGAGGACACAGTCCCTGCCCTTTGGTGGCCCCGGCCAGAACGGGCTGCTGAAGGGCGACGTGCGCGAAGCCGTGCCTTATGGTGCTGACAGCACAGGCAACATCCGAACAGGGCCCTGGAAGAATGAGACGACCGTGTGACTGCCATGCCACCTGCCCCAGAAGAGTGTCCGCGCAGAGCAGGGACCCGGATCACCAGGTGACAGCCTCTCAGAAGCAGCTGGCACCCCACTGGCCCTTTGTTGTGAAGGACTCCAGTGGGAAGACGCTTTGGGCCATGTTGCCTCCCCTAACCCGAGGTCAAACAAGCCATCCACATCCACAGTCACCGCTTACAACCTGCAACACCCGCCCCCAGGCAGCCCAGCCACGCAGCGGGCGAGGCACAGCCTCAGCGTGGGGAGCCCCGCCCACCTGCAGTGGCCTCAAGGGACCACCGATGTTTCCTAGTGTTCAATGTGCGTGTTCAGTTTTGTTCCAAGGAGCGGGCCGCCTGCTGGTCGGTCCAGCGTGTTCTGGACCTGGGGACCCACAGCCTGTGCCCAGTGCCATCTCCACCTTCAGCCCCCACCCTGGATGCAGCCAGCCCGCAGTCCTGAGAGCCTCACAGACTCGGGGGCGCCCAGCTGTGCTCTGGGGGCGCATCGCCTTCAGACAGGTCGGAGGGGGCCCCATGGCCCTGTAAACGCCCAAATGTCCTTTAACAAAGATTCAACGTCCAGAGCCAGCCGCTGTCAGTACTGGATCCCGCCCCAACGTGAGCATTTGGGAAAAATAAAGTTCCCGCCCCCAAAAGAGGAGCGGCTGGCATTTCCACGAACATCTGGGCACACAGCCCTGACTCAGAGGACAGAAGTGCCCCTCCCATGGGCAGGGTCAGTGGGTCCTCACAGAGGCAGGTGCCTAGACACCCGGAAGAACATGACACGCGTGTGGGACCGTGCACGGCTGCTCCTCCCTCCCTTCCTCCTCCTGGAACTGACACGTGTGCAGACACACAAGCATGCACATGCGCACACATACATGCGCATGTGTGTGCACCACATGTGCACGTGCCGTGTGTGTGTCATGTGTTCATACCACCCATGCACAGTCCACCATGCCTGTGCATACAGCACCACCACACACACACAGCACATTGTGCAGAGGCAGTGTAGCCAGGTGGTCAGTGCCCTGCACGGCTGTCATTGCTGTGACTTGCCGGCGCGCTCTGCCATCTGGGAGGGAGGACGCGACCCAGAGCAGTCCCCTTCCCCGCACACAGCCGGAGGGGTGAGGAGTGTGTCAAGTGCCCGAGGTCCCACGCTCAGTATCTGAGCACAAGGAGCCTCACTTCCCAGGATTCCTGCGAACCTCACCGTGAAGCTGTAACTCACCAGTGTTCGTACCTGCTGCAAACCCCGTGTGTCCTCACAGGACAACCAGACCGGCAACCAGATGAGCGCTGGGCAGTTCCTGTCTCTGTCACTGTCCAGCCTGTTCACCTGCTTCTGTAGCCGATATGAACCGAGACCCGACGCTGTGCTGTGTACACACTG